GGATAGATGCTTGAAAGGTTATGGAGTTAAGACAGTGGCTATGAATAACCCCCTTGCTCTGAGAGCCAGTGCAGCCTTGATTGGCCAAATGGCCTCCTTCTGTACTGTAAATTTCTACGAATTTGTATCAGAACCATAGGCGGTGGGTGAAAATCTTTTGGGTATACTTAGGTGGGGGGCAAGATGGGGGGGCCTGCGAGTCCTGCGTTTTGGAGGGCTCGGAAGAGGACTGGCTGTGGTCCTGCTCAGAGCTCAAACCTTTCCCCTCCCAGCTGTAGATAGGGGAGGGGGCGCTGAGCTCTCTCTAGCCCTTGCCATCCCCTGCCATTGTTCAGGACTTTTTTTGCCCCATGAAACTGACAGAACGGATTTTAGTTTCTGACTCCCTCCGAGTAGAACTCCATATGGTTGTGAGAAGAAGGAAACAAGTCCTTAGTTTCGCAGCAGCGAGGCTAAGAATAACATCAGGTTGGCTTTTATCTCCCCTGAAACTGAAAATAAATGGATTTTTTTGCAAGGAGCATCCTTAAAGCAGCAAGCTGTTCTATCCAACATTGACAGCACAAGTGGGGCTGTTTCCTCCTGCCCAGGCTCCCACCCCCCCAAGTGATCACTAATTGCTACCTGGGTAAAGACAAAACAGTCAAAGATTCGGAAAATTAAATCCTTGCTTTTCCTCCTGAAGTATTTATTTCACAATTGCTGCGTAAAAGCATTCCGCTAGATTTGCAAATGGAATGCATTATCAAAGGAAACTATTATTATCTTCACAGAGCATCCTAAAATCACAGAACTGGAGCTCAGCTACTTGCAGATCCAAGCATAAAGATTATTATTACATTTTAATTTGTACCTGCACTGCCTTGACATTGGACTGATCTGCATTGATAATAGGGTTTTCCACACAACTTGTTTACAGCACATTATTCAGTTCTGCAGCGATTGAGTACATATTGTATCTTCAGTCTGTATAAGAAAGAACAGTTTTCAAGCCACAGTAACTGCTGCAAAATTATTTATTTTGTGTCTGCAGACAATGTGCTGGGAAAGCCAGTCAACACAGAAACGCTTGCCTAATTCTGACTAACATATATTTAGGGCTGTGCAGCAGAAGTCAAGCTTGCAAGATCACACGAAAGCTCTTCGACCCATTTTATCTCATCCTTCCAGAACACCCGCCCTAACGTCTCCCCATCACAGCATCAAGCTGTTGTTTTCTCACCTCCAAAATATACAGTCAATTCACTTTACAATGTATTCTGTGAAGCGCTTTGAGACGTCTCAAAGACGTGATAAGGCGCTATATCAAATGCAAGGATTATTGTTTTTTAAACGAGTCCAAAACCCTGGCCTCAACCACCATTCCTGGAAACTTGTTCCAGCGTTTTAATTAGCCTTTGGGTAAAAATACACTTCTGGGTGACTGCCCTGAAACTGCCCTTTGCAACTCTAACGCTATGTCCCCTCTTGTTCTCTTGTCTTGGTGCATCATAACGTGTTTCCCTGGGATTACTTTTCCAGCCTCATTTAAAATTTTAGACGTCTCTCTGAGGTCCCCTCTGGGACATCGCCTTTCAAGACCGAAGAGCCTCCTAGCTTGTCTAATCGTTGTTCATATCTCATTCCCCCAACAACAGAGATCATCCTCGTTGCTTTCCTCTGAACTGTCTCAAGGGCAATTGCAGTCAGTCTCTCTTGTTGCGGCGACCAGAACTGTATGCAGTAGTAGCCCTCAAGCTATCGACCTTGACTTTTTTTTTGCGTGGCTGGATTCCTAGTCAGTGTGGAGCCAGGACTCCAAAGTCGAGAGAGACTGAGGTTAAATCCATAAACAGATAACCCGAGTTTCATTCTATCATCTTCCTGGCAGATGGTACGAATCAGAGAATGTTTAAATTATTTAGCTTTTTTAGCTGCTAACAACACAAAAAAAACATGTTTTCTTGAGACGGGAGACCTTGTGAAGTTATGTAAGATTTTAATTGGGATTGAGAGAGTAAACCCAGAATAACACTTCTGTATGCGTTGATACAGCAGAGTAAGACAGTGGCTTAGAGTTGCAAAGGGTAATTTTAGGAAAAATACCAGTAAGTACTTCTTTAATGATAAATAATAATCCTTACAATTGATACAGCACCTTTTCAGGTCTTCTAGACGTCTCAAAGCGCTTCTCAGCACTCTTGTGAGTTGTACATCTTTTAGTATTGTTAACAAAATGGATGAGAAGGAACAAATTGCTAACTTATATACTTTTTGAAAGTACATAAAGACAGAGATAGATCAATAGATCGATAGATGGATAGGTATTTGGCAGGTCAGGTATTAAGATATATGGAGCAAGGAAGAGTAAGGTACAGATCAGCCATAATCTTATAAAATGGCAGAACAGGCTCGAGGGGGTGAATAGCCTACTCCTGTTTCTATGTTTCTATGAAACGTTGGTCATATTAACCTTGATAGAACATTGGAAGTCACTGTTGCTAAGTATGGGCACAAATATTGCACGACGGATTGACACGACATCAACTGCGATGCAGCACGGTCAATCAACCAGCCCTTTTGTTTTGCTTGAAACTCGTGGTTACCACCAAAATAAATGTCCCTTCAAATTCTGGGCAGTAAGTTTCCTGGCAAAATGGAAATGCAGTTTCCTCACTTCTCAAGAAACTGCACATTTTCTAAAGATACTGTCTGAGAAATATGGATTGAAAGATTTTCTGTTTGTGTTTCTCTTACATCTGTTACACATCTGTCTCCAGCGAATCCACGCTGGAGTATATAAACTCTCAACCTTTTTGACATCCTTCAAGTGAAGACAAATTGCCTCTCTGTTTCAGTTCCTAAGAGTAATCTATATTAATAGCAGGGAACCGTAAAATGCATGGTGCATATATAAACTCTATTAACAAGGTTAAATCTCTGAGTATATAGTGTCACTTTGATTTTCATTACGTTTACTGAGAAATGTTTTAATTGTGGGTGGTTTGGTGGCTGCTCTGATAGCACAAACAGTTTCTGTATTTCGACAGTGAACTAAAGCACAGTGTGCATTAATAAACAACGCTGCCATCAATAAGTAGTTTTAAATCCCACTAATCTTCTAGTAATTATTCTTCCTTGTAACTTGATTGCTTTACAAAATCTAAACAAAATATTATACTGGCATCTGGGATGGATACAGGTCTGGATCTCTGAGTCCTTTCTTGGAATGATGGACTATCTAATTCATTTTCTTCGTTGTTTCCCTCGGTGTGGAGAACCAGGAGAGTGAGTTGAGTCTGGGTGGTAGGGTGAGGAGATGCTCCCTGGAACAGGCTTGATGAACTTCTGGGCCTCTGTCGTCTATAATAATAGTAATAATAATAGTGCTTGCATTTGATACAGCGCCTTGTCACGTCTTCGAGTCAGCTGAAAGCGCTTCACAGAATATACTGTAAAGTGAATTGACCGTATATTTTGTGGGCGAATTGTGGCAGCCAATTGCGCACAGCAGTGTCCCACAGACAGTCGTGGATTGAGTGACCAAATTATTTTCATTTATTCTGAAGGAATTATTACCCTTGGAAAAGCGATCCGCCAATCGACTAACAACCAGGTTCCTACCTACTGCGAGATAAACAGAGACATGTGAAGTAAGGAAACCCGCCCAACATTTTGCCCTGCCTGGGAATCGAACCCAGGTCCTCTCGCTTGCGAGGCGACTGGTCTAACCACTAAGCTATTATGTATCTAATGCCACACTTAAACTACCAGAAGCAATCTAACCTCACTTCAAGCGGCAAGATTATTCAGAACAGGAAGGTAGATTTCTGTTTGCCAAACACATTTTGCATGAAAGGGTGAGTGGAGAGATCTGTGCAAGCAAATAATGTTTTGAATTCCAAACAGTAAATGTCACTTTCGGTTGTGTCTCTCTCTCGGGCCCAACTTATCCAGCCTGTGTTTTGCAGTGATCAGTATAAATGAGGCAAAGGGTAATTTGGTTGTTTCACCGAATATTTACATTTCTTCTTCCTCTAACTTACAGAAAAACTGGCTTCACAATTTTAATGACTGTATTTCACGAAACTGACAAATTCTGGACGCTCTGAAACGCTACGTTAATAGATTAAATCTAGACCTGGGTGGAATTTCTACCCAAGCGGCAAATAGAAGGAAACCCAAACTCTATTCTGTTCCGTACGAATATGAAATTAAAGTAATTCGCCGCAGGGAATATGAATACGAATATGAATAAGGTGAGGCTCTAGACATGAAATCTGGGCTCCTTTGCAGTACTATGCTTCAGATCCAAATCGGTCCAGGTTACCATGATCCAAAACACCATTTCCCTTCTTCATTGCTGCTGTTTGCTAGATTGTCCTCTAATAATAATTGTGCTGTATTGCTTCTTGTCCTCTGTGGCCCTTTATCGATCTATTTAAGGAGTGTTTTTCTCAGTTTTCTCCATCCTTCCTTTACATTTTTCATTCATAAGGAGGCTCAATGGATGTGGTGTTGTGATTTCACAACAAATTCTCTTTTCTGTTGGGCAATAGCCTTGAAAAATGTCAAAGGACTATTACTTTAAATATAGATATTACTGGGAAAGGTTACATCAACTATACTTGCAGTCTAGCTTGCTTCATGGTGCATCAAAATGCAGGACTGTGGATAAATCACCAACAGGAAAGTAGTTAACTAGGAGTGTTTGCATGCTTAAATGCAATAAAGATATGCTGAAGTGATACATCTGTCAAAGGCAACCTACACATATCGTCTAGTTAGCCCCATCTTTTCTTTGATGGATGAAATATGTGGCATGGAATCTGATTCATTTGTGGTATCTGATAATTTCATGGGTGAAAGTAAATGCCGCGTTATCAAACCCTGCCAGTAAGTTTTTTACGGCTTCTGTGGGTAGTTGAAGATTCGATGTGTTTATGTCCCTGAAAAGCACAAAGATTGTGACCTGGAAAGTAAGTGGTTAACACATTAGTGTAATTATAATATGAGCCTACCGTGATTGTCTTTATTCGACCTCCTGGTTGTGTGCAGGTCCAGCCTGATTTGTTTATTAATAAACCACAAATTTCTCCGTCTGAACAGGGGATCATTTCACACCACTGCTTGCTCTTTACAACTCGCACTGCAAATAAAACATGAGGGAATCATTACATTTAATCCCAAACATAATTACATCAAAACATTTCAATGAATGCCAAATGGGGACTAGGTGGTACAATAAATTAGCCTCTGGGACTTGGGTTATAGTATAGCTGGAGAGGATCAAAATATTCTCTCTCTGTTGAGTGTAATAGTATTATACATTTAGCATATCTCAATCCAGTTCAAAGTTGGGTCGAATTTGTGCTAATGTATATAATCTACAGAATTACATTGAACGTTACAGCATTGAATCAGGCCATTCGGATCAATTTAGTCCATGTAAGTGTTTATACTCCACATGAGCCTCCATCCCTCCAAATTCTCTCTCCTATAACCTTCCTTCTCCCTTGTGTGGGCACATTGCAAATGAATACCTTGTAACATTGGCCATTTTCCTGTCATATAAAAGTCACTGTGAGTATAACGTGAAGGTACTTATTAAAACTTGCCTTTCTTCCAATGTGATCTAAACATCAGAAATACCACATCGCCATTCAGAAACCAAGAAAGAAAAGCTACAGAATGTTATCGGTAATCATTCAAAATTGATTTCACTTTAGTTTGAGTGACAACAGTCTGTTTTGCCCATTAAGCTTAACTCTTCCACAGCCAATACAAATTTACCTTATCATGGATTTCAGCCCAGCTACAATAACTCTTCAGAGACAGTTCTGGAATAGTTCCCCCTGAACCCCAAAAGTAATCCAACAAGAATAGAATATCTCTTCACCTCCAAATCTCAACTGTTGAAGCATATCCTCCTGATATAGTTGGAGCCCTGTTGCAATGCGGTAGTTGAGGTAATTGATGGATTTTGGGGTTAAGTAAATATCAGGGTCTATAACAACAGCAATTATATTGCGTCTTATGATATAATAATAGTCCTTGCATTTGATACAGCACCTTATCATGTCTTCAAGACATCTCAAAGCACTTCATTATATTTTTGTGAGAATATATGTATATTTTGTGAGTGAAACGCGGCAGCCAATTGTGCATAGCAGTGTCCCACAAGCAATCGTGGATTGATTGACCAAATTATTACTATTTATTTATTTGGAAGGGATTATTACCCCTGGAAAAGCAATCCATCTATCAACTAATAACTGGGTTCCTACTTACTGCTAGGTAACAACAAAACAAAGTTACATTTGTAAAGTGCCTTTCACGTTGGGAGGGTGTCCTAAGGCGCTTCCTTACTCCAAACAGAGTCGTGCGGAGTAAGGAAACATGCCCAATGTTTCACCCCGCCGGGAATGGAAACCAGGTCCTCTCGCTTGCGAGGCGAGTGCTCTAACCATTAAGCTACAGGACTCCATAGTCTTTCACATTGGGAGGATTCACTGGAGATTCAAGGGAGCTGGACAGTCAAAGGGCTACACCCCCATAAGGTAATCCGGGTAATAACATTATAATCTAGCTTCTGCTACCTGTATATAAATATATCTTCAGATATGTTGAAACACAAACAAAGTTACAATTTAAACAGTTCAATATTGTCCTCATACACGAGGTGGGTTTGCCAAATTCTGCAGTCAATGCAGTCATATTCCATGAGAGATAAAAAACAGTGAAACAAATTGAAATCCCACTGAGGTAACCGGAGCTGCGTGTACCTAGCGAGGTATCAAAGAAGCAGGTTCATTGAAAATAAATGAGACTTTGGACATCTGACATAGAGACAGTTTTTGCAAATATTCAACCTCACGAGGTTATTTGTGGTCGTGAATACATTTTATATGCCCCCAGTGGCTCACATTAAACCACAATGCAACCGGCGCTTGTGGAAAGGTTTTCAGTAAAAGCTAAACATTTAATAAAAGATTCAATACAGATATGTTTCCAATTAATTGATATCAGTCAGATGCAACTGATGGTGATTAACTGCGTGTACCTGTGCTTGAATGTTTCATTTGTACATCTTGCAGTTCATTTTCCTTTGTAAATAAAGAGCAACACTTCTTGTTTTAATAATAATAATAATCATTGCACTTGATTTAGCGCCTTATCACATCATCGAGATATCTCAAAGCACTTCACAGGGTATACTGTAAAGTGAATTAACTGTACATTTTGTGTACGAAATGTGGCAGCGAGAGCATTTTGCAGACACCCTGACTAAAATACAAAACATTCCGCTGTGCTACATTTCTGAATATCCTGACCTTGAATTGGAATTGTTTTTAGTTTTTAAAAAAAAATGAAAGTGATGGAACAATCATCTGACAATTATTGGATTGAAAACGAAACTGCAGCATCGATTCTAGTGGTTTTCGTCTGTGTATCGTTAAAACGCATTAAAAATGTATGTTGTGCCAATGTTTTCTGCATTTAACTGTGAAAACAATTTTAATGATTCCTCACGGTTGACATTTGAAACAGGTCCGGAGTTCAGGATTCCTGGAATAGGAAACAGTTGGGGAGTTTCGTACATTATGGAGTCCTGTAGTATGGTGGTTAGCGCACTCGCCTCGCAAGCGAGTTCATTATCCAGGCAGTGCAAAGCCTTTGGCAAGTTTCCTTACTCCACATGCCTCTGTTTACCTATCAGTAAGTAGGAACCCAGTTGTTAGTCGATTGGCGGATCACTTTCTGGGGGTAAAAATCCCCTCAAAAACGACTGTTTTTGGGACATTACTATGGGCAGTTGGCTGCCCGTTTTGCCCACAAAATACACAGTCAAATCACTTTACATTACATTCTGTGAAGTTATCAACTACGTGATGAGGCTCTATATCAAATGCAAGGATTATCATTATTATTATTATATTATTCTTTTACCACTAGCTAGTGGTCTCCATCACTTGTCAGTGTCATAGCTATCTGGCAAGAGGTCACATCACCTCAAGTGGGGATTGTATATCAGCAAAAATCTACCCACACAATTCCCTTTCTTCTTTTCCACATTTTTTTCTGTTGTTTATTTCATATTTACATTTCTATTATTCCTTTACTGGGAGACCAGGGATTCTAGCCACCAGGCTCCTGCAAGCTAAAGCCCAAATGGGATGGAGCTGTCCTAACTGAACAAGCAGCGGGAAGCTTGTCAGACAGCGCTCTCAGTGGCAAGCTATTCAGTTTAAGCTGGTTGATCTCCAGTAATTACTCCAACGCACACTTTGGGATCCCCGATTTTTGGCTCTCGCCTAATGCTCTCTGGAATTGCGTAAAACAAGGCGAGTCACTCCAAGGAGAGAGTGCGCATTCCAGACACAGGCCCATTTTCATGTGTAGATGGAACTCATGTGCATGTGGAACTCTAAATCTGCTTTGAATACCCTTAAGCGGTGGTGGGTATCCCACTGCCAACAGTAGCAAAATTATGAAAGGCTGATCATTGGTTACTCTGAATGAATCCTTGTTTGACCACGCTTTCGGTAAGTGCTCCGGGACTCTACACCCTGTGAAGGGCGCTATACAAGTGCAAGTTGTTGTTCCAGCGCCTTGGGACATCCTTCTGACGTGGAAGGCTCTATACAAATGTAATTTGTTGTTGTTGTTGCAAGCTTTCACTTCCCCAACCTCAGCTCGGTTGCCAAGCCAGGATTGATAAGCGCTTTGAGACATCCTCGCGAAGATGGAAGGCCCGGTATAAATGTAAATTTGTATCGCAGTATGCAGAAAATATGGATTTTGACCTGAGATGTATATGTCCAACATACACCTGGCATAGACATCTTGGTTAACATAATTTTCAATGGAAATAGATATTTTCAGTTCAAAGGATCATTAATTGTTTTCCTTCAATGGGACATTGAACAATATTTATGTCAAAAGGTAATAAAATGATGGTAACTTGTGTTTATGTATTTTGTCACTTCTTTTAGCCTCAGTCTTTCCCCCTGCGAGCACTTCTGTTACCACATAACATGATGACACAGTGAAAATTCCACACATCTATCTCTGTCCAAAAAATTCACTTCTCTGTAAAAAAAAATCATCCTCTTCCTTCTCCCATCATAACATCAGTGAATCCATGTGCAGTCAACTCCATCTTCCCCTCTCTCTAATCTACCAAGAGTGATTTATTCCCGTCACAAGAAGAAACATTAATGGCAGCTGGCACTCCACCGCGAAGGAAACAAAAAGAAATCTCTACTCAGATCTGCTTTTATCTACAACTTGTACAATTTACATTTTTGAATTTGCAGAAAACCTCCTTCAGGTCCAAAGCCTGTAGAGCACTGAACCGTTTCAAGAATTTATCGGCCAAGATCCAATAATTACTCTGATCTGCTACATTCCTCCCCATTCTCTTCAGCTACAAAAACAATTAAATTGTAATAACATTGACTGCTCATTTTCGTTTAAGCATCAAAGACTCCGATGAAGAAGGCCTTTCAGCCCAGTTAATCTGATCCTTGTAGAATATCTATCTAACTGTACTCTCATTCCCAGCGTCCAGTCACACAGTCACTCCACTGTGAAGCGCTTTGGGATGTCCTCCCAACATAAAAGGTGCTGTTTCAAATGTAAGGATTATTATTAACATTAGATGACTAATAACAGTCACAGCACATTTCTGAAAATCCATTATACTTTTGTTTTGTAAAATCATCTTTTCCTGCTCTAGAAATGCTTCAGGGATTCGAAGGGAAGCAAAACGTGTCTGTGAGCGTGTAATAATAATACCTTCTTATAACATCTTGTAGACGTCTCAAAGCGCTTCTCAGAATATACTGTAAAGTGAATTGACTGTATGTTTTGTGGGCGAATACATTCTGTTTTGTGCACCCTATGGTTTCTCAAACTTTCCAATCTGTCACTATTACAGTAATCACTATATTTTACGTCTGGTGCAATGACATTAATTGATTTTATTTTTCAGACTGATGATCCAATGCTACCCAGTAGATTTTTGTGAATCGGTTTCACTGCTTTCCCCACTTCAGACAACCCACACGGGCCATTTAACTTTGCTTCCTAATTGTACTGGGTCACTGCTGCTGCTGCTTTGTTACGATAAAAGCAATGATAAAC